TTCGAATTTTTTAAAAATTAATGTGCCATTTTTAAACATACAAAATATCAATCATCAAAAAAAAATTGATTTCATAACTTTATTTTCTAGCTCCTAATGAAAAGAAACTCACAAGTATCCCTTTTAATTCAACCTTCCAACAGTCTGGCACTTGTACTGCTTTAAGCCTGCCGTTGAACTACACATGCATACTCATCGATATATAACACGAAAGCCAATTGTATCACACATTTAATGCTTTCTATTCGGCTGTACATATGAACTTGTCCATGATCGATCTAGAAATTTTTTTTTCATATATTTAACGATTTCATTAATGATTTCATGTTTATTAATATCATACAGTATATAATATAATATTATATAACAATATATTTCATCTAATCAAAGTTATATTAAAAGCGATTCTAAAATTATGAATAATATGAATTTTGTTGCTATAGTTTCTTATTCGAAATGTAATATTTTTTCAAACTTTATAATTAAATATTACACATTACAATTTTAAAATTTAAAGTGACCTTCATATTTTGATAAGAAATAAAAAAAACGAAATTAATTACTATATTTTAAATGACTCAGTATGAAATTATGAAGATTACTTTTTTGATAAAAAACTTTATTATTTACAAGTTAAGACATGTATAATAATAAAAGGCAATGAATGAAAAATTATATCAAAAAAATTTTAATCTTTTATAGATAAATAAATGAAAATTTTTATATATTTTTTAAATCAAATTTTTATTTTAAAATTGGAATATTTTACTTATATAACAAATAATTTTATATAATAAAGATATTGGCAAAATATTAATATGATAGAGATATTGTATCTCAAAAATTTATTAGACTTTTTGAAATTTTTGAAATAGTGAAAGAAATAATCTTGAAATATAATTATAAAATATTTTTTAATAAATGAAGTGAAATTTTATAAATAAATTTCTATTTTAAAATAAATTTAAATTTTGAACAAATTTTTAATTATTATTTTGGATAAATATCCTCGTTTTATCATGAAGAATTAAAGAATTTGAGGAGCAAATAAAAAGAACGTCTCGCTCAGATCGTAACAGTTTGATCATGCACGTGCATTCGAAAAGAATTCCAACGAGTTTGGAGGTTCCTGAAACTTTCGTGGAACATTACGTCAGTTTTTATTGATCTTATGCCGACAACATAACCCTGTTATTCCGTGTAACGGGAATATAACTTCTATTTAAAAGAGACAACTATATGATATCAATCCCTTTGCGTGGATTAACAATTATTATTATTAAAAAAAACTCTGTTTCCTTCCAATTATTCAACATTTAAAACCAAAGTCATACGGAATATATAAACATAACAGAAAAATCTATGAAATATCAAAACTTATTGATATATTATTGATATATATTATATATAACTTATTGATAGATTATGAAATTTATCAATTTTTTATTATTACGATTAATGATAATCATTAATATACTTGTCATTAATTTTTTATTTTTTAAATTTATCGAGTTTATTTAATTCATTATTATTTTCATATAATCTGTATTTCAATATATCAGAATATGAATAAATATTAATAAATATTATCGGACAATTTATTTTAAATTTTTTAAATTTTAATTTTAATATTTCTTTTAAGTAAACAATCTATATTTTAATACAATAAATATGGAAATTTTATCATTTGTATTCTTTAATTTATTCTTTAATAATATTTTCTTTTGTTCAAGTTATTATATTCTCTTAAAATTTCAAAATTTGTATAGATAATATTTGTAAACCTGTGATTAAGAGATCTCTGTTCTCAGATATCAGATCGTATGTTTACCATCGACGCGCCATCGACCCTACATAGGTACCTGTCAGAAATGGTAACTAAACGTGTTCGAATCACGTTGGGGATGTGTTATCGATCCGTTTGCAGGTCGATTGTTGTGATAAGGGACGAGGAGTATTTTGTAATATTATATCACCTAACACGATCGCTTGATAACATATTCAGCTTTTCTATAATTAATTAACAACGAACATTTATCATCTTTTGTAAATTATTAATTACAATTATGAATAAAAGCTTCAAAATGAAAGTTGAATGAATTTGAAACGATATTCTATGATGAAAATAAAGCATAGCATATAAAACTCAATCAGCTGTGATATTAATAAAAAATCATGATTATTTAAATAATTATATATAATTACATATTAATATTACATGTTAATTATTGAATATATTAATTGATATATATTAATATTAATTACTATAATTATTAAAATTGCAATTCAGATGTACAATATAATAATTAAAATAGTATTATTTTCAATCAAAATCAGTTTTAGATGAAAAAATTCCTTGATATACCGTTTTGAAGAAAAAAGTTTATATTTTTGTCACGTCTGCGAAGGCTGAAACGTGGACCAAATAATAGTGCATAATTTATGAGTAAGAAATTTTTAATAAAAAATAAATATGTAGTTGGTATTAGAATAGGCTAATATTAAAATATAAAGGAATTAGTGCCATATGATTACTATAAGATGTATGCTTGGATAAAAAAATGTTAATCTTGTACTCTGATATTCGATAGTTTTTATATACAAAATACTTATTAAAATTATTATTAAAAATATGTATTAAATAATTTTAAAATAAATATTTGAATAAATTATATAAATTAAGTTCAACAATTACCATAAATTTTATAAAAGTTATATATAACATGAAAAAACAAAATTAATATGATATTTATAGGGTGCGCTAACCGATGATGGAAGAAAAGGCCAGTTTCCACTAGCGTGAATGTAGCAGCGTGGCGGGCGAAAAAATCAATAGACCACGTGGGTCGCCGACCGGGTTTTCCGAACCCAGTTTTCATCCTACATTCTTATCACGCCACAGAATTTAACGTCAAACAAAGGATCTTGCGATTCAGCAAAAAAAAAAGGGATCATTGCCAAAGAACTAGCGACACCTCTGAAAGAGGGTTGTTTTCATCCATACCACTGTATCCGAATGTTTTTCCATCATAGCTTTTACATCAATCACAGAAACTGTCGTAATATTTTATAAAAGAACATCGATAATTTATTTTTCAAAAAAATTCAAAAGATTTCAGTCAATAAACTTTTTAATTTCATTAATTTTCTTAAGAAATAATATATTATTTCTTGACTCCAATGGCGTCAGTAGCCATAACACAACTTGCATAATACAGTTCGTAACATTATCGACTAATCTAATGAGATTACTCAACGATTACTCAACTTTTATATATTTACAGTGATTCGTATTGAATTTCTGATTTTTCATTCAATATTCATTACGTTTGTACAACTCTCCATATATATTAAATATCAATAGTAAAAATTCATTGAAAATTACTCACCGAATATTCAGATGTATTCGGAGGAAACTATTTAACCCCTTAGAGATGTCTAGTGTTTCCAAATATCACTGGTCACTAATGTCTATTCTCTATTAGCGCATCATAGAGAAAAATCACCGGGAAATAAATGTCCGGTGTGAACGCGATGATCACATTCAGAGCATCGTTCTTTCTTATGATTTTTAGTTCTTGTTCTGGTTAATTGACGGCTCTCAGATAGTCTAATCGTCGATACCGAGAACCGAGGGCGGATGTGATCCAACACGATGTAGCACGAGGATGAGAGGAGCCACGAAACGTACGGCACACTGGTCGAGCTCTGAATGACTGTCGTCCAACGTTCGTTCTGTTCGTGGGCTTCGCACATTATAACGTGCAGCAACGAGGCCGGCGCATGTCGTCTGCCCTCTCCCTTTCTCTCTCTCTACCTCTCTTTTTCTGTCTCTCTTTCCCCATAGTGGTTCTGTGTGCTGGCGTATGGCGCGTGTATCGCAGCTTTGTGCGTACACGGAACACGAGTATGAACCACGCTATGCCACCCTAAGCTCTATCGACCAGTCTATCTATCGGTCGTTCCTTTCTGACAATTATTATCTTGAATGTCGAAGACGATTTCGCGGTAAGTAACTGGCGACGTCTTTTGCGTTTAAAATGGATAGTGAATGGTTATTATATATTATACGAATATTGATTGAATAGTAGCCCAGTGTGGAGGGTTCAAAGGTTATTGGTCTTTTGATGAATGAGTTCTTTTTTCGGAAAAATCGTTTGCTTGGAAAATAAAACTTATAATCTGATTTGTAATTACCTGAAATAAAATAAACTGAATTAGTATTATATTGAAGATTCAATTAATTAGATTATTGAATTAAGAAATAATTTATTAGATTTTAGAATATTGAATTAAAATTTATAGAAATTGAAATTAGAAGCAAATTGAAAAATATTAATTTTAATTCTAATATTGAAATTTGCGCTATATGAATAAAAAATTTAATATATTCAAGAAAAAACTATTTACTATTGCTATCACTTAGTATATAAATCATTCATTTTTTTAATAAGTATTATTTTTTTAATTAGTATTAACTCCATTTGATCATGGAATAGATATTTTTAAGATACACCAGCTATGTATTTTATAAAATATTATATAAAATTTATTTTCAATTAATATTATATATAGTAGATACAAAAATCTTATATGATTAAAATCAAATAAACATTGAATATACCAGAATACATGCTCCAGAGGCTTACCAGACGAACTTCAATGCTTCACATGTCTATCATATGGTACGTAAAAGTAGTACACCTGACGATACCACGCCAATCAGTATCGACCGCTTTATCGACTATTAACCATAGTATATACTCACGTGCGAGCGTGTGGTAAATTTACATTCTCAACCGCTCGTAAAATACCTTATGTCAGATACAATAGGCATAAATTAGAAGATAATGCTGTCTGTTAATTCATGCATCATAATAATTATGTTTTTTAAATTAATTTTATTGGTATATATATTAATGTGATAAATTATAGATAACGATTGATATAACATTAAACAGCTAAGTAAATTTCAAATGTTATTTAATTGTTATTTCCGCTTCTTCGAATATCATAAGTGATACCAGAGTGATTACATTTTAGAAGATGTAATACTGTTTGTGGGATGAAAAATCGAAGATCGATCGAAATTGCATCGACCAATGGCATCAGCGTTCCATCCACCGACAAGTAATCAAATTACGCTTTGTCGTGGTCGAGCAATCCTGTTTTTGCTTGTCATGTAATTAAACTGCGTCATTGAACGTGTCAGGTTTATAAAATTTCGATAATCAACTTTAAACGTTCTCCATCGATGGATCATGAATTATAGTTTTTATTGATCCAGATTTCTGATTAAAATTGTTATAATAAGAATTTTTTTGCATTTTTGTTTTAATATTATCATTACGATTTTCAAATTATTCTCTCTAATATTTGTGAAGTAATTACATGTATGTATATTAAACAATGAATAAATTTGTTACTCATTAATTAATTTCATTATTAAAAATTTAAATTTAGTTATTTATTATAAATGATTTTCATTTATTAAATTGTTATATATTAGCTAGAAATAACAACACATCTAATAAATATTTTAACTTACTTTAACAGAATACATGTGATTTAATATCCAACGATGAGTCATATTGAAACATGATTTTTATGAGTGATTTTACGAATATTCGAGTGTTTCAGAATCGTGACAATCTGTGAATCAGTTTCATTTACTACGAGACAGAAAAAGAAAATAGTAGATGAAACGACATTAATATAATCTAGGATAATGATTGCAAGTTCCTTGAAAAAGAGAGGGAAGTCCACCCGTCATCGTTATGGAGCAATACGTGCTTTCCCAAGATTTTTCCTTCGAACTCGAATGTTTCTTCTTTTCCTCGATGTAACACTCAAACTGTCATCTCTGCAAGTTTCGTTCAATTAATATTAATTGCAGAAATAATATGAATCATGATTGATTCATCATAATGTTATTGATGTTAATTTACATGTGCATAAAATAGATTGTAAAAAAAGTATTGAATTAAAATTCTTATTATAAATGTAAATATTTTTCGATAAAATCATATTTCAGTTATTTTAAAAGCATAAAATATTGCAGCATTGTTTCCATTTGTATGTTCTTATTCAAAAAGCTTATAAAATTTTTTCTTCTTGTTTCTCTTTCTCACTCTCTTCATTGCTTTGATAATTTTTTTTAGTAACTGTTTGTGCCAAAAAACAACAGATTTTAGAACTGAAATTGAAGAAATGATAAAATTGCGAATTATATAGAAACAAATTATATTAATATAATTTATCTTGAAACAATATTTATTATGTACTTATATAATACTTATAGAAAAAGAAATAAAAGCTTCTTGATTTCTGTAAACTAGACTTTTCTTTTATGACTATTAATGTTTCATGATGAAAATTGCGTCACGTAGAATGGTTAATTGACGATTCTATGACAAGAGAACATCGTACAAAAGAGGCACCTGGTCCAAACTAGAAGGGATTTTCAAGGGACTAATTCATCGTATTTCTATACCAGACAATCTTGCACCCCTTTAGACAAGGTTCCTCTTGCTTTGTCTAACTTCTGAAGTCCTTAGAATAGATCCAGCTGCTGGATCTTTTGTACCCTCGACAAGTTTTCGCGCTCTAACTGAACACGTGCAACCTTGAGTTTTTATTCTTTTATTTTGTTTTTTTATTTGTTTTATCGGAATTTGTATCTTGAAGTGTTAATGAATTTAATAATGATCCTTTTAATATGAAAATTATTCTTTTCAATCTATTCAATTCTATGTTCAATGTATAATTTTAAATAGATTAAATAATACAAAATATAATTTAATTACGATTTAAAAATTGTATTTTAAAATATTTATATTTTTCAAAGACAATATTATTTTTTATTTTTCATAGAATCTTTCATAGAATCATTATTTTTATTAATTTATGTTTCTTAAAATTTAAAAGATTAATAATTTTTAATTAATAATTTTTTATTCTTGTAAAAATTATATTCTGAAATCCATATATAGAATTTTTTAAAAAAATTTTAATAATTCTACATGTTTTATTCATAAAACTTTCAAATAAACTTTCAAATAAAATTTAATGAATAAATCAATATGTAAGTATTTCTTTCACATATTAGTTGCAATATTTATATTTAATAGTTTAAATCTAATAAAATCTTATAATTATGCAAAATACACTATGTACACTCTAATATCTATACAGTATAATTATTATAAAAGCTTCAGACATTGTTCTCAGCCACTGTTCCTTTGATAAATATACGATTTCATTAATGACAAGCATGAGAGGATTACTAAATATAATTGAAGGAACAAGATTATGCAACTTACAGATATCGCGTCTGTACGTCATATAAGGATTAACGATCTTTGATCAAATTTTCTTTGGCGTTCATAAAGATTCATCCTCTTCTAAATAATTTCGATTTCTTGGATTTATTAATCCTCTACTAAGTTTATCTCTCTTCCATTTTAGAATCGAAACAATATCATTCTTTATATATTTTATTATTATTGTATAAACTATTCTTTAACTGTTATTTCTTTTTCACCTAGAAAGTTAATATTAATTACATTTCATGATAATCCATTATTAGGCTATTATACTTTTACAAATTATATATATATATATATTTAAAAAATAATAAAATAAAAATATAAATATAATTATATAAATATAAAAATTAAAACGTATTATAAAATTATTTCGCTATTAATTTTTATCAAATTTCATTGCAAACTTTAAAAAATATAAATTTACAAAATATCTTCTCACAAATTCATAAAATTTCAGAAAAAAATGTTTGAAAAAAATCATATTTTTCTTATTATTGCTAATTTTTTAACGAGAATTTATTATTTAGAAAGATTAATAAAAATTGAACGAGAAGGAATACCGGGAATTTGATGACATATTTCTTGCGTAGGTCGTCTTTTTTATATGACGTCACGGAATCAATACGCCTTTCTGAGCTCAGTATCTACGTCACTAATGATACTTTGCTTCTTGATCGTATTCAACTACTAGAAACAAGCGTACTATGTTACCATCACCTGAACTTGTTCCTCTAATGCAATTTATCAAGTACTCAGTGTCGAATAAAACGGGCGAAGGACATTGAATTAGTCGAGAAACGAGATTGCTCCTTTCTATCTTAATTCTACTCCTATTCAATTGTAAATCCCTGATAAGAAGTCGCAAATGTAACTTCGAGTTCAGTAAAAGTGATTCTTTGAATAAATTCTACAAAAAGTTTGAAAATATATAACTTTTATATAACGATTTAAATTATTCTCGCAATATTCATTAATACTTATCGAATCATAAAAATAACATTTCCATTTCAATTCTTCCATCTTGATCATTCGTTTAACGTAATATTATCCACAACAGTTTTTCGAGATATCGATTAATGCGATTCGGAAAGATAGATCGAGAATTGTTTCAGATTGTTTGATCTCATTAAAACCTATCAAAATACTGACTTAAAATAAATCTTTGTTTAATAAAAAATGAATATGAATATATTTTAATTAATCTATAATATATATCTATAATATAATTAATTGATCTATGCTTTTATTTTTTATATTGAACTTTGAATGCTTTGAAATCCTATAAAGAATTTAAATCCTATATTACAATTTTTTTTGCATAAAATTTCAAAATTTACGCTTAAATATTATATCTTCTGATAGGACAAATTTTCTATTCCAATATTATAAATATAGGAAAATTATAACAATAACGTCAAAAAGTTATTAATTAAAGAAACATAAAAAAAGAAATTGTCGATAAAGAAATAACAGAATCCTTACACAATTGTCATATGACATTCATAAAGATTAAAAAACAATTGAAAAAAAAAAGGATTTTATTTTAATCTTCCTATTCAATTAAATAAAAAAAATTTTATAGAATAAAAAATTTGTATTTTTGTTCATATTAATTTTTATTGTATATTAAAATTTAATCTTTGATTTCTATTTCAATTTATATTTTTTCGAATTCATATTCTATTCCAACTCAATTTCCATATAGTTATTAAACATATAATATTGAAAAAGTTAAATCCTTCAAGTTCATTCTTTCTGCTATTCTCTTGAAAGAAATGTAATAATATCATGACAAAGAATAATGAGCATTGTTGCGAAGAACTATAATTTATTAATGAAAGATATAAAAAAATTTGGTTATCAATTTCACTACACAAAGATAATATTTCTTTATGGTATTGTCATGCTAATAATGTAAACAAGGAATTCGCATATTTCAAAGTTCTGACGTTATATCATACGCTATCTTAATATATTCTTTTTAATAAATACTATATATTTAATGATTTCTTTATAAAAATAGAATTACTTACGTTATGTCTGTTTCTACGAAAAACCGATGGATGATATATTGATATGTAGTTAATAATAAAATTTTAATTAAATGTAATAACAGGAAGTTATTTTTTATTTTTTTAAGATAAAATATACTATAAATTTGACTTGAATTACAGTTTCTTAAAATTCGTATTTAAATAATCATGCACAAATTCAATTAAAAATAGCAAAATAATATTTACATACAAGAATTCTTTATGTGGTTGATAATAGTCTTTTACTGCCATCTTTTGACAAATAATAGAATTCGTTTATTGATGTTGCCGATAGGCATTCCTTTATGTGTACAAGCACGTGCAATATGAGGATAACCTCACTTTCTAATTAATGTGGATAAAAACAATAAAAAAACAATTTATACGTGTGATTATTAAAAAATTTTGATATTTTATTTACAAATAAAATATAAGAAATGGGGAAATTCGGGCCACGATTAAATAGCCGGAAGAATGCAAAACGATGGCCAAAAGGTCAAAGCTCCAGTTCTAATCCTGAAACCAAAAAACATCGAGAACAAGCAACATGTTATTTTTTAAGGATCCTACAGGTATTTATTAATGTCAAATATTAGAATTTTAAAAAAATTTTTTTTTCAATTTAATATCATTTAATTTTAATTTTAGGAAAACCTGGTATAACGAAAGAGGATTTACAAAAACACAATGCTATTCAAGGAATTGAGCCTCAATTTGAGAAACTTGGTCTTGATGAAGAAAGTAGTTGGGAAAATACTACAGAAAATACTACAGATACATTTGCTACTAATTATAGTAATTGCTCAAATGTATCATTTAGTAGGTAAATAGTTGTTTTTAAAGAAGCTGTTATATTATTTATATATATATTCATAAAATTTAAAAGATATTAAAGAAATAACAATTTTACAGATTTTTAAATCATTTTCAATCAAATTCATTGTTGCATAAAGAAATGTTAGCTGTATTGTCTGCTGTTACAGAAGTTATAAAACAAAATGGTGGAAATGAATCTTCTACAGAATATTTTGCTGCATTGGTATATATTAATATATAAATTGATTTAAAAAAGAGATATTAAATGATAAATAAGTATTAAAATGATATTAATTATTAATATTTTAGATGAGCACTTTGGAAGCAATTGAATCAGAAACATCAATTGCAGCCACATTATCATTATTAGGCATGGGTTTAAAAACTGTACCAAAGAATGTCTTAAATATTCAATTTGGAGCTGCAAGTAAAATTTTTTTAGATATTCTTGTCAAACATGCAACATCAGATGAGTTTTTGATACTTCGACATGTAAATTTTTAATTAAACAATTTAATTATTTAATAATTTAATATTATAATAAATATAATATTATAATATACTATTTATTATATACTATTAATATACTATTTTTAATATTATTTATTAATATACTATTTTTACAGTGTATTCACTGTTTATGTCTGTTGCTTCGAGTATTAGAACCAGCAGCATGGTCTAATTCATCTACAGTACAAGTATTGGAGTCTATTTTATCATTTGTTGTATATTGTAAACCAAAAGTGAGGAAATCAGCACAACATGGAATTTGTGCCATATTAAAAGGTTAAATAAAATATATAAAAATAAATTTTGATAAATTCTAATATTATGATAATTATAGGAAGTGATATCATGAAAGTTGATAATCCACCACAATATCATCCAGCTACACCACATATTGCAAAATTTTGCATTAGCCAATTACAACTTGATTCCGAATCCAGTGGAATTACAAATGTTCTTCATATTCTCACATTACTGAAAGATATTTTCCATCATTTACCTACAAATTATGTGAAGGTACTTATTAATAAAATGATACTTGTTTATAAAATGTTCCAAAATCTATAGAATATAGAACATTAAATTAATGTTAATTGTTAATTTGTAAAAATTGTTAATTTCATTTTTTACGGGCTTTTTTATCTATCGAGTATTTCATCAAACATCATTTAAATCAAATATCATTGAACAATGTTTTTGCTCAATGCATTACAATAAAATAAAATTTTTTATTCGTATGTCGTATCGAGTTTTAGTCGAAACATTTTAGATAAAATTTTTTACTTATATTATGCAATTAAATATTTTCATTTTTTCAGATAATTAGTGAATCTTTATTGACACTTATGACATTAAAAAATGTATTAGTAACTTCATGTTGCTTACAAGCCTTTCACGGTTTATTTGTTTCTCGACCGCCAAAAACAATTCTTTCAGCACAAATAAATGGACAAATTATTACTGCTCTTTATGATTATCAACCTCCATCAAGTGATACACAACCAACTTTAGCATGGCTGACTGTTATGCAAGAAGCACATTTAAATTTAGCCAAGTAAATAATCATTTTATTTTTGAATTTCTGTATTTTAAATTTTATTAAAAAATAATTATTAATTTATTAAATATTAAATTATTTTTAATTTACAGCGTTTCTTTGAATTTATGCGCAGTTCTTCTTCCGAGATTATTTGAAAAATGTATGCAGTTATGGCTTTCGGATAAATCAAAAATTATAGCTGGCTCATCAAATACAGTAAAATTATTATTACAGGATTGTATTAGTAAAATGTGTGAAAATGAAGAAACAGTAAAAAGGTAAAATTAAATTAGAATATTTTATTTTTAATATTGAATTTATATTTTATTATTTATATTCTAATTTTTAGTTTTAAAGATACTATTGACCAAATAATTTTTATGATGAATAATGCATTGGGTTATCAATATTTGGAAGCATGGTATCACATTCTTCATTTAATAGCTTTACTTTTCCAGGTAACGTTTATTTTGTCTTTTTTTTTATCTTTTTATTATTTATAATTTATATTATGTGTATATATATAAATGTTTTTTTTTTTATTATAGATAGTTGGTAAACCAAAAAGTAAACAATTAATAGATATATTAAAAAGATTAGCTGATTTACGTGACTCTTATAATTTTGCATCAAAAAATGATGCTGAATATGCTATTGGAGCTGCAATAAGAGTTCTAGGACCAGAAGCAGTATTAAATTTGATTCCATTGAAAGCGAGTAATTTCATGTAATCTTAAATACACATAAAATTATTATTTTATAAGTATATAATTTTTTTCTTATAGGCATCGGATAATGTAATTAATTTAAAAAGAACTTGGTTACTACCATTATTGAAGGATTGTGTAATAGGTGGATCACTTACTTTTTTTACAGAAACGTTATTACCTCTTGTTTCATTTTGCGAGTAAGTATTTTAAATTATATTATTATATATATAATATAATGTTAATTATAATTAATTCTAGAAAAAAAGCGATCGAGCCTATAGGAGGAAAAACTTATGAGTTTCTCATTTGCCAAATCTGGGCTATTTTACCAAGTATATGCAACAATGCCACTGATGTAAAAGAAAATTTCAAGGTATATATTATATATATCATATATATACAAAAATATAATTTAGTATTATATAATTTTTTTTTAGAATATTGCTAGATTATTAGGAACAACTTTCAATGAGAAAAAAGAATTAAGAATGTCAATAATGAGTGCCTTACGAAGGTTAATAATGAAAGCAGTCGAAGATGATAATAAAGAAGATATATCTGAATTAGCTAGATTTGCAAAGAATTATCTACCACTATTTTTAAATTTATATACTACTAAACCAAATGGAACTGATGAAGAAGGACAACGTTTCGCAACATTTGATACAATGAAGGTATTTGAATATAGAATACAATGTTCTTTGAAGAAATTAACTTTTTAATTTTTTCAATTATAGGTATATCTTACAATTACAAATAAGGAGTTAATACATGAATTATTTGATCGAGCACTATGTAGATTAAAAGAACTTAATGCTGACGATTTCTTCAAAGAAAGCATTCATGATATAATAAGATTACTTATTGAATATACTGATATTGATAGATTAAAAACTTTTTATGATATGTGTGTATTATCTATTAAAGAAAGTTCAAATATTAAGCAACAAAAAAAAGCATATAGGTAATCTTTTTTTAAATATCTATAATTAAATATTTTACGTAATATTTTCACGAAAGAAAAACTTCACGATTTTGTTATTCTTATTTTTAGATTTTTGGAAGAAATATGTAGTAGTGAAAAAGAAACGTGCAAAGAGTTTGTAAGTCAATATAGACGTGAAATACAAAAATTATTAATATCCTCAGCCACTGAAGTTGCAAAACCAAGCAGAGGAGTAAATATTGATTTTTTTTTAACTATTAATATATAAATTTTATATTATAAATATAAAATATATAATATTTATATTATATAAATATTATATAAATAAATTTTAAAAGATTAATGTGATAAAACAAAATTTATTTTTTTAATCAGGCTCGAATAAGATGTTTAATTCATCTTATCAAAATTCATCCACAATTAGAAAAAACTAAATTCTTAGAAGCCATTGTTCCTGAAACAGTAGTGTATTTAAAGGATATAAATTTAAAATGTCGAACGTCAGCGTACCAACTATTGAACACTATCGCCGAGAAATTTTTAGAAAATCCTACACATCTTAAAGATTATGTAAATATGCTAATAGTTGGTTTAGGTGGTGTACAAAAGTACTGTGCTGCATCTATACTGGCACTTGCCTCTATTACTTATCATTATAATGGTATAATTTATTTGAAATTAATATTGAAATAAATATTTTGAATAAAATAAATAACATTCATAAATAATATTGTATCATAACAGGATCTTTGGGTGTAGATACAATCAAAGAAATTTTAGAACATACATGCAAACTTGTTACATGTCCTACAAGAGAAATTGTAGAAGCTGCATTATCATACATTAAAGTTTATATTACTGTGATGCCATCTCCTATTGTTGCTTCGACTTTAACTAAATTGGTGAGTAGAAATATAAATAAATAATCTGAAAACTTAATTAATTTAATTAAGCGAATTGATTTAATTATAGATGGATGCTATATGTGGAATGACTGATGATTGTCATAGACATTTTCGACAGAAAGTACGCGATATTTTAGTAAAATTATTGAGAAAATATGGAATGGATACAATTTCTGTTATGATTCCAGTCTCGAACACAATATTACATAAGAGATTGAAAAATATGAATAGAGTTGAAGAAGCAAAGAAAAAAAGAAAGAGATGAAAAAATCAAATCAACAAGAAATCAATGAAGATAATGAATTTAACGCAAAAAGAAGGCCAAAAAGGTAACTTTTTTATTGAAAATTATATTTTTCTTGTATCAAATTATTGTAATCTTTAAAATTATCGTAATCTATTAAAATATAGTATAGAGGATATATTAGCGGATAGTGAAGATGAATTTGAAGAAATGGAAAATGAAGAACCGAAGAAAAAAAATAAAACATCTAGAAAGGAAGTTTGGATTCAAGAAAATGAAGAAATTGTTGATCTCGTAGATCCTGCGGCTGCTCGAAATATATCAAGTGAGTGTATATGAAATTTAATTAATTAAGGTTACTATATATTAATATTATATATTAATATATATAATTAACTATATAAAATAATGTTTTTAGCAACACAACCTAGAGCATTAAATTCCAAAACAATTGCAAAGCCAAAAGATCGTGGATTCAAAACTGCACCAGATGGACGTCTTATTATTACATTAGACAATGAAAAAGCTGATGAAACCGAAATTAATAAGAAAAAGAAATCTCCTTTATTATTGCACAGTGATTCAGAAAACGATTATGGTAAAAAAATATAATCATGTAAAAATATAAAATAATCCAAAATTAAACAAACACAATCGATTTATGTTTTCAGAAGAAAGCAATGATGATGCTGAATCAGTAACCACATTACAAACATTGAATAGAAAACGTAAATTTAGTGAAAATAATGATAACATTAGTGTAAAAAGTGGATCCACACTAAAATATCAAGGTAATACAATTATAATCTAAGACATTTTTTAATTTTGATCTATATCTTATAAAAATTTATCGCTTATAGCAGGAGGATCTGGAATACATCGACAATTGAAAAAAAGCAAAAATGGAACATTGTATTCCGGGAGCAGAATACAAAGCACCAAAGGCTGGAGGTGATATTAAAAAGAAGGGCAAACCAGATCCATATGCTTATGTACCTCTATCAAGAGCAGCATTAAATAAAAGGTAAATAAAAATATTTAAAATCTCTGTCCAAATCTTATCATTAGAATAATTTATATTTTTCATTTTCAGGAAAAAGAAAAAAAATGTGACTAAATTTCAGAATATTATTAAAGGAGCAAAAAAAAGGTGCAAAAAACTGGAATGAAAAATAGAAAAAATTAGATTTTACTTGTGAATATATGTTGCTATAATATAATAAATAATAATACTTATACAAATAATTCATGATTATAATGTTTTCATTAAATAATAAAAATATATATATATATAAAATATATTACATGATAAAATTTTATAACTAAAATCAAATAAAAATTTTTGATTAATTTATTATTAATATTATCTAATATTATCTTATATACTTAAATAATTAAAATACTTTCAACATCAAAATGAATTCATAACAAAGTTAGAAAATTTTTATAGTATTCATTATATAATCTATTTATTAATAATTAAGGTTTTACAAAGAAATTTTTGTATAAAGATTATTTATTATATATTTCAATAAAGCAAATATTGAAATCCTTACAACTGATAGAAAATAATTTAAAAATAATTATATTAAAATAGTGACTGGTTTTGCTTTCTGAAAGAAAATAATTAACACATAATCTATATTAAAAATGCGCATTTAATCATTTTCATTCACCCTAAAAATATTTATATATTTTTATTAATAAAAACTCACATTTTTTTTTAAACTCTTATTAACTCTTCTTAGGCAACATATTTTCTAGCTCTCCAGATTCACTCATTTCTTTTATAATATCTAATCCTCCAATAAGTTCTCCATTTATATACAATTGAGGATATGTAGGCCAATCACTAAATTTTTTAAGTCCTTCTCTAACATCATTATCTTGTAAAATATCAAATGATTGATAGTCTGCTTTATAAGAATCTAAAATAGAAACTATTGTTCGAGAAAATCCACAACGTGGATTTATCGGAGATCCTTTCATGAATAGCATACAAGGTGCTTGATTTATTAACTTTTTTAATCTTTCTTCAAGATTTTCTTTTGGTTTATATGTTTCAATTGAAATGGAATCTTTTTTGGACAACTGATGTTTGATTTTATCTGCTATAGCTGAAGGATTGGCTCCATCGACTCTATCGAGTATAGTATCATTTCTTGTAAAAATAATTGTCGGTACTGCACTGATACCAGCTTTTAAAGATACATCAGGAATCTTTTCAGCTTCAATTTTAGCAAATTTAACTTCTTTATACTCGGTTAGTTTGCTCATTTCTTCGATCACATCATTTATCTGCGAACATTGATCAGCCCATGGTGCGTAGAAATGAATGACAGAAAGATCTTGTGACCTGACATAACAAACAAACATGAACTTGAAAATAACGCATTTCCTAAGTAATAAACATATCTATAAATAGTATAATAATATATATAATAATTTTGCTATTTTATCTTGAAACTATATCGAAAAAAATTCGTGACTTCTGAACTTCTTATACCGAATAAAAAAAATATTAAACATTTATATTTTTACCAATCTATTTACTACCATATTTATCAATCTATTGTATCATCTAAATATAAAAAATGAATATTTTTTTTGAATATAAAACAATAATTTTAAAATATAAATTTTAATTTTTTCATAACAATATTAAGGAAGAAAAATGGAATAGGTTATATTATTTTTAGAATTGTATAAATTTATATTTACTTACTTAACATAATTTTCGTATTCTTGCTGAGAATTAAGATTAGTGACAGACATTCTGTCACGTTCTTTCTATTTTTGATAAATACGCGAGAATATTAAAAATAAATATTCTACAAATACATCCACTCACCACGGCAGCGTCTACGCGACTTTCAATATTGTTCTCATGGAGGTTTTATAATCACAAATGCAAAACTTCTGCTTCTGCGCAGAAGTTTGCCAATTCACTATATGCTGTAATAGAACAATTTGATTTTGATAAAGTGTTTTTATAATATAAAAATAATATTAATATATCACTTATTATTATTATCGCTCTTTGTTGCTTCACAGTAGATTAAAAATGAAAATGAATCTTATTTTAATTAATTTGATACGTTTCAGTAAATTATACACTATTTTTATTCATATATTAATAAAAAAGTATTTGTTATTTATAAAGCTAAATAAAAAATCTGACTGAAAACAAAAAGCTATAATTTAAATAAAAATGGCGCGAAATAAGAAATTTATCGTACAATGTAAATTTGACTTTAGATTTATGGTTCTCAATCATGATCTTAAAATATTTAAAAAAATTTTAAAATTTTAAAAATTTTAAAATTAAATTAAATTATTTTTAAACAAATAGAAAATATTTAATATAAAACAAAAATTTTTCTTTTATATTTTTTTTCTAATTGTAAATTTTTAAAAAAAAAAAGCTTTAAAATAATATTATAATGAATTTAAAATATTATCTTAAATTTTAATACAATTAAAATTTTATAATTTTATAATCATTCGTTGATTACTGAAATGTCACAGAAAAAATTATATAAATTGAGAATCACTGGTACTAGATTGTGTCAGATAAAACAGGTGCATTAAAAGAAAGTGGCCAATCGGAGTGTCGATGGATAGTTCGTCATACAAGCATATAAGACAGTCATCATTGAACGTTATAGGGGGGGATAAGGGAAGAAAATACGAAGCAGCAAGGGCTGTCAAGATACCTCGCCCACAAAAAGCAGATGCAGATGCGACCGGACGGTGAACACGTGCGACGCTTTTTTGTGACGGACGCATGAACACGCGGTGCAATGTTCAAAAAGTTGTCGCGAAGCGACGCCCTTGAGAATATATCCAATTGGAGCACCAATGATGTGTTGTGCCTGCTTCGAAAGGTGAGTAAACTCTGATTCAAAGTGATCTTTGGCATTGTCAGCAACGAATTTCTAAAATGAACGGATCAAAATCTCAAATGATTTCATAAATCATCTGAAAACACTGAATATTTTCTTTTTCCAGTTTTTATATTTATCTTAACAATTGAATATTTATGATGTGTATAAATTCTATCATTTATAAATTCATTGAAATAAATTCATTTCATGATAAATAGTAAAAGAAATGTAAATAAAAAAATAAATTATTATATAATAATTATTATATAAATATACTATAGATAAAAAAATCAATAAGTTATTCTTTTTTTGCCGTTGTTCGTGACACCTTAGAATGATTTAGTATACCTTGCAAACTGTCAAATTGCATGACAGAATATTGAGAATTGTACATGAGATACAAATAATATCTCATATGTATATTTTTAATTAGAACAAAATGAATAGGTTTATGTATTACATTGTACTTTTTTTTCATGTTTTTAAAATCGTGAGACTAGAATATTAAAACCATTGAAATGTGTGAAGATTGAGTCGATGAATGTATACCGACTGAGTATGCCGTTTGAAAACATTTAAATTCTAATTCAAAATTATACTAACGAAATAAAATATCAAATAAAATAATATAATTATAAAATAAAGTGCAATAATGCAATTTTTAATAGCAATATTACTCAATTTAAACTGATGTAACAAAATACAAAGGAAAAAGAACTTGTATCTATTCATTCTGCACTTTGTTGTCCTAATAACGTAAATATTTGTACAAGATATAGTATATGCATGTTATCAGTAGTGCACATCCTGTTTGATCGAACGAGTTTTTTTCTTTTACAGAACGGTCTGGATGAATGTTGTAAAGCCATTGCAAAACGACAGATAGATGGTGACGAATTATTGGTGAGTAAATCTGTCTATTGAATTTGATATCAGTCATCGTGATTTTTTTTCCTGTTTTATTCACGTTTCGCTAATCAATGTCTATGTCATCTATGAATATATTGATCTAATAATACATTGATAATTATAATATATTATACGGTTTGGTAATAAAACGTTTATGAAGATGACTCCATCTGTTATAAATTAAATTCTAAAAAGATAATTATTAATCTATTCCGATTATTTGTGAAGAAAAAGCACTGTAAAAACTTTCATTGAAATATCTGTAAGAATAACAATAACACCTTATCTGAAATGAGCATAAATTTTAAAAGATAATTATTAATTAAAATTTTCTTATACTTGGTAAAAATGCAAACAAAAAGAAATTAGAAAAAGAATTATTAGAAATTTTTTCGTTGAGATTAAAAAAAAATCTTTGATATTAAAAAGAATAATCAAAGACTTGCTACTTTCACTAATTAATTGAATAAAAGTAAAGTTTGAACATTGGGCATTATTCGCATACTGCCAAGCCGCACAATGCAAAAAGAAACAAGTTTCTAATCGGTTGAAATAAATAGAAAACGTGGGGATAATGCAATGAGCAAGTTTCATTCATAATTCGTATCGTTACATATTTCGTTTCCAACTGGCGCGTGCTCTCTTATGTTCTTCTTAATTAATTGTAATTATTCCAGCACTTGACAGAAGGGAAGCTGGCGCTGTGGAAGAGTGACCTCACGCGTCCACTGATATGGTAAGAGAACGAAATATCAGACATGTCTCGTTTCTCGTAAAATGTGATGGAACAAAGTGGACCCGTTCTTGTGACCAAATAGAATGTTGATGCTCGTTTCACAGTCTAACGGTTCTTCTTTACGAAGCATCTCCCTGAGACACTCCTTCGAATCGTGATCGCTGAACAATTATCCATACACACTTAACCGTGTTCCATAATTTTCGAAAGCATACTGTTCGAAAGAATAATTAGAAGATCATCCAACTGAATGAATTTTTTACTCAATTAGAGTTGTATATCTCAAAATTGATGATTGGAAATCAAGAAATGATTTTATATCTTACACTTTTTTCAATACTTAGAAAGTTATACTACGCCTTGAAGTAACTGGAAATGGGGAAAAAAGAACTCACGCATTTTACATTCTTTAATTATTATTTACAAAGTAGTAAAATTAATAATTTACCTAGTTATTTAATTTTAAATACATAGGCCAAATTTTTGTTATAGAAAGTATAAATAGAAAGATGAAATGATATAATACTGAAAATAGAAAAATGATTTCACATGTTTTAGATCTTCTAGTTACTTATACAGCAATAATATGTCTTTTGTAATATAAATTTTTGAAAAGTTTTTATTACAAAAGATATAGATCTCTTTATTGTTTTTTCATAGATATTATTTTTAGAATTTCTTATTTGATAATTCTTGGAACTTTTATTTTCAAAAGAATCACATCATTCTATACAATAATCTATACAATAAATATATAATAAGTAACCATGTTTTAAAATTCCAAAAAAAATATACTTTTCAATGGAAATATAAATCTGAACAATACCCAGGTGCCACAACGTATGTTCTACTTCTATTCTATTGTTGAACTCCATGCTAGTAAAGGAATTGTATCGACATTAGAGACTGTACATATATAGAGGAGACGAATTGTTTGCATTCTATTGATATTACAACAGCTATTCCATCCTACCGTTCTAACCGTTGTCGCAATGGCTTAAACCGGTGAAAAATTTGGCGAGCGATGATACTATAGAAAGCGTCGCCGGACGCAGTATGCATACCAAGAGGAAGGTTCAATGGCTTGAGTGGTGAAATCAAAATATGCTGTGGTTAGTATTTCCGAAGGCCACGCTAAGACCGAGTGGCCCCCGGTTATACAAACCGGTGCAATAAGTGCGTAATTCTATCGTGTGGGATGCCCTCACGATCATTCAATATCTGCTACTGACGCCACGAAATTTATCGTCTTCTTTTATTAAGGAAATTCCACTTGACAACAACGCGACTGTTAATGCGACTGCATTAATATGCTATTTGTAATTAGATGACAATGTTTCGAGAAAATTCGAAAGTTAGATATTAAAAATGAACGAAATTTTTTAATACTTAATTATATATATACGATAATTAGACTGATAAATATATGTAACATTTATGAAAAATTTAAATATATAAAAATTTATAGAATGCACATAACATGTAGAAAGATATAAAAATAATTCAAAATAATATTATGGTACATGGAGTAAATAAAATAAATAAATCCTTCACTTTCTTTTTTATAATTGTGTTTATAAAAATTTATATAAATATAAACACAATTTAATGATGTTAATATAAGAGATGAAAAAATGTTTGTATCTAATTTTATATAATATTTTTTAAATAGACTAATTTAATGGTCATTTTTTATTTTTCGTTTTCAATTAAAAGTATTCGTCAATTTTTTAGGAATCTTTGGACATTCGTAGAGGAAGTGAGAAAAACACCAGAAAAATTTGTAGAAGAAAAGATTCTTGAATCTCAATCGAACGAAGATCATTTAAGCGACACCGGCTCTTGGGGGACCGACTTCGAGGATGAAGCAAACGAGGAGAATACTTTATCAGAAACTCAGAGAATTTCCGGATCAAATTATGAATCTAAAAACAATCAGAAAGTTTTAGTAGAGAACAATGCAGATCTTAAACAAAAAGATGTACAAACAGAGAAGGTATCGAAGCAAGAGGAAGAAGAAACTTATGTGAATTGTGGTCTTACGATTGACGAGAACACATATGCGAATTGTCAGGAAACTGTGCCATTGAAGAATGCGTCCAGATTACATAATCAAGGAGAAAAATCATTAGCTGAACAACTTAAGGAACAATTGCAATTTATAAATACCAAAAAGCCAATAATGGGGCCAAAACCTGAATTATTGCAAACAAAAAATGTAGAGGTTTCAGTTTTAAATCGAACTCAACCTCGGAAATCGTTTCTTCATAATACAAAGGCTAAACCGAATAATCTTATTCAAACGCAAAGTTAGTAAATTAGAAACAATAAAGAGATTATATTTATTCATATATTCTGTAAAAATATTTTTGAATTT